GAATATGGAAGTCTGGAAGCCAGGACTGTGCCAGGTTCTTGTGGGGATAGAAACAAGGAAGGACTGGGCATACATTTGTTCATGCTTGTCTAACTCCTAATCTCTCTCAAATCCTTGTCCTAATCTCCCCTGCCATAAGGCCCACTCTGATCCAACTACTGAATGCTACTGCCGGATGCCTCCTACCGTGCTCTGATTTCTTTCTACATAGCATTCATCACCACCTAATATTTTGGAGTTTACTTATGTGTTACATTTATCATTAATTGCCTATCATCCCTACCAGAATGTAAGCACCAAAGGGAAAGTAGTATTTTTCTTGTGCCTTCCAAACTCCTCAAATAGTTCTTAGCACATAATAGGAACTCAATAATTATTTGTTGAATGAATGAATAGATGTGGCTGGGGTGAAATTGGTAAGAGGCAGAGGTTACAGAGAAGATCGTGAGATGACAAGAAGCCTCTAGGGCCACGTGAAGGCTTTAGATTTTATCGTGAGTGAGATGTGAAGCCACTTGATGTTGCTGAGCACAGAGTACCTGGATCTGACAGATCTAGGGGAAAGAGCCAGTTGAGAAGCGAAACCTACCGAGGGATTGGTGATTCACGGAACAAAGTCTTAAAGGTCATTAATTAGGGACCCACATGCCTAGGTGGCCGTGGTCAGAAGGCGGCACAGGTACAAAGCAAGTAAAGATGATTCTACACATAAACCACAAATCAGCTATCTTTTATGGTGTTTCTTATCAGCTGCCATTATTTTTTGGAGGGTAAATTACATTGTCCTGGCAGTTATACTATACTTGTTTTAGAAATCAGCTTGGCTATAAATATGGTAATCATATTTTCTGACCCAAGATTGAGGTACATAGTTTAGAAAATAGTTTTACTAATCTAAAAGTTTACCTAGGTATGAAGTCTTGTAACAGTATCAAAGTTAAATCACATTTAGTGTTATAGTTATACTAAATGACACAACAGAAAGAAAATGAATAGAGTTTTAGAGGCTATTCAAAGGGCCACCTTAATTAGATTGTTACCCTACCTGCAAAAGTGGACTCAGATCATCAGGCTATGGCTTCAGGCTCAAGAGTATGAACATTACTCCAGGGATATTGTCTGAATACACATGTCACATAATTAGAGGAGTGTTTTGGAAAGAGTAATATAGAAGTGACTTGGAATGCAATTAAGCTAGAAATTGGACCTCAGCATGTTAATTCAGACATTCTGAGTAAAATTTTGAAATAAGGAGATTTGGTAGTTTGCATTATCAACTCCTGAGCCAGACCAACACTGGTTCAAATTGGAGTTTTATCATTTATCAGCTGTGTCATCTTGGGTAAGCTATCTACTTGGTACATCATTTTCCCCATGTTTAAAATGGGGATAGATAATAATATTTAGGAGGGGCGATTCAAGGAGTAAGTGACTCAATAAGAAAAAGCACTTGGGGGGGCACCAGGGTGGCTCAGTCAATTAATGGTCCGACTTTAGCTGAGGTCATCATTTCATTGTTTGTGAGTTCGAGCCCCCCACTGGGGTTGCTGCTGTCAGCACAGAGCCCTCTTTGGATCCTCTGTTCCCCTCTCTCTCTGCCCCCCCCTCCACTCATTCTCACTCTCCTTCTCTCTTTGTCTCTCTCTCTCTGTCATGAAAATAAGTAAAAAATATTAAAGAAAATTTTTAAATAAAAAAAAAAAAGGAAAGCAATTGAAACTGGGCCTGGTACTTACTAAATGCTGAGTGTTAGCCATTATTGTTGCCATTGTTTCTACCCCCAGGATAGTATCAGACAGAAATATCTTCATGATATATATCTGCTGCATTCAGTCCCTTTAAAGGGATTGCAAATGGATACAAAATAATTCAATTATTTCTGTAAACATTCAAGAAAACTATGATACTTTAGAAAGAAATGATAATATTTAATAGTAGAATAAATGATAATTTATTCTATTTAAATGATAATATTTAAAAGTAGAAAAAAAAAGTAGAAAACTATTAAAAGGTCATAATAGTCACTAATATCATGATGTGACAAGATTGTAAAATTTTATACAACTGATACAGGTTATATCACTTTTGGTCATGCATAAGATTCATAAAATGATTATAGTTTGATAGACATTGTGTTGTCTGCTTTATATTTACCATATACTCCTAATCACTCCATCAGATGGGCACTCTTACTTTGCCATTTGCCTAAAGAAGAAACAGGCTTAAAGAACTTAGTAACTTGAGTAAGAAATTAACCAGTAGTAAGTATATAAAATTGGATTTGAACCCAGGCATTCTGACCCCTGTATTTGGACTGTGTTTTTGAGGTTATGACAGGCAACTGACATAATATCTGGTGATCTACAAATTAAAATTTAAAACAAATGACTAATTTCCAAGAATGTCCAAAAACTCAGTAACAAAACAAAATATTCTTTATCAGATTCTTAACAATCTGATAATGCATATTTCACCCATGATCAATGGATAAAATAAAATCATAGGTAAGAAGATAAGGCAGAGTTCAAAACCCTAGAGAAATGTTAGCATTATTACCGTTCTTATGGATTCTTGAACCTGAGACTACTCCATGTTTCAAAGTACTGATCAGATATTAGCTGAGACTAGCATTCTCCTAACTCAAAAATCAAGTGCAGAAACTTATCAAACATTTCTTTACATAAAATACTCATTTCATATAAACTGTCTACTGGGATGGTTGATAAAGCTGCCAATGAAAGTTAAATGAAGACATTCATCTGTTAAAATATATTCTTATATCTCTTCAATAAATTTATTCATAAAATATTTGTTGAGTAATTTTGGTTCTAGGCAGCTGGGGAGACTATAGAGTCCAAGACATAAACATTGTTCCTGTTGTTAGAGGGACTATGTTCTGATGAAAAAGAGAGAGAGGAAGGAAGGAAGGAAGGAAGGAAGGGAGGGAGGGAGGGAGGGAGGGAGGGAGATAGATATGCAGACTAATAAACAAAATAATCATTCTTATGAAGGAAATAGATGAGATGAGAATCACTAAGAGCGAATAAGAGAAAGTGACTTCAGAAAGGGCAAGCCTAAAAGACCAACTTGAGGAAATGACATTCAAGCTAAGTAAAACATGAATGAGAACAAGGAAAAGGTTTCTGAGCATAGAAAACCTACAGAGCCCATCAGCATGCACACATCTCCAAAGAAACAATGTAAATATTCCTTTTTCTTTCCTAACATCTTCTGGATACTTCCAAATCTGTTTTCATGTTAGTAAAATACACTTCATTCACGAACTTCCTTGAGAGCACGCACCACACCTTACTGATCATCTTCGTAGCCCTGATATTTCACACCATGACTTGACATAGTGGGTACTCAAAAGGGATTGAGGGCCTACTAAATAAATAGATGAATGCAGGGTTAACAATGAATTTGAAAGGGTTTTTAAAAGAAATTTTAAAACTTATGGTGCAGGGTAACGTTAGCAAAAACGGTATAGAGTAAGGACTTCAAAAACTCCCTCTTTAAAATGAGTGAAAAATCTGACAAAAATGGTTGGAATCAACTTTTTCATATCTTTGGAAATTAACTAAAGCTTACAGCAACCCCAACCCTCTCTCCATAGTTCCACAGTAGCCTTGAAAACCAATCACCTACAATCACAGTGCAAACCAGCAGCTCAACAGCCATCAGAGGGACAGAATAAGATTGGAACTCCTTCAAAACCTCATTTCTAGAGAATTCTCATTATTTGACCTGTCTGACAGTTCCCTGGAAGGTCCCATTTAACAAGACTATCTTTATCAGACTGGATTTACGCACTAGAATAAGTCTTTTCCCCAGGGGTGCTGGTTTGAAACCTTTAAAGATAATGAACTTTGCAGCTCCCTGAGGCAATAGATAACAGCTGGGACAAACAACAGGCAAATCAAAAAGATTAAAATGAAGAGCTAGGGAATGAGATGTCCTAGGGGCTTTGAAGAGGTCCATTGTATTCCTGGGACTATAGAAATGCGTGCCCTTATAAAGGACTGCACAAATGCCCAGGTTTTATTCAGGTTCTGGAAAGAGCTGACCTACAGTTGACCTTGGGGCTCTATGTCCATGGGAAGTGAACTTTAAGGCAGATCTGCCTACTCCCTAGCTGAGTGCTGAAGGCATGCTCCAACATGCAAGCAAAATCCAAAACATCCAAACACAGGAGTCTTACTGGTCCTTAGTGTAAAGAAATCTTTGTCCAGCTATTAGTTGAATACTAAACTAACCAAGCAGAAACATAGGTGGCCACACATGATAATGCAAAATTTACAGAATTAGTTAACAAAAGTCAATAAAGAAACATACAAACAAGAGCTGTGACAAGGAGCAGTAACAGTAAACCCTGAGGAGATGGGAGTGTCTGACTTCCAGAGTTGCCACATTGTATTATTTAATGCATCCATTAGCAACAGAAAATTACAAGACATTTAACAAGAAATATGCAAAAGTACATGGAACAAGAAAAATACCTATCCTACACAAGGGAAAAAGCAATCGGTAGAAACTATCCCTGAAGAAAACCAGATGTTGGACTTACTAAAGAGAAAAAAGACTTTAAATTAGATATTTTAAATATGTTCAAAGACTTTAAGAAAAATTATGTTTAAAGAACAAAATAAAGAATATTGATAAAGGATATAAATTATAAATAATAAAGATTAGGACAGAAGTAAAAGATATAGTAAATAGAAAAGCAATACAAAAAAATGAAATCAACAAAACCAAAAGTTAGTTCTTTGAAAGCAAAACTGACAATCCTTTAGCTACACTGACCAGGGAAAAAAAGAAAGAGGACACAATTACTAAAATCACAAATGAGGGAGATATTTTCCTAGTGATTTTACAGGCATAAAAAAGATTATGGGGAATAATATGAACAGTTATATGAAACAAGTCACATAACCTATATGAAATGGACACATTCCTTAGAAAGACACAAACTACAAAACTGACTCAAGAGAAAATAGACAGTGCTCATGTTGGCAGCACATACACTAAATTTGGAACACTGCAGAGAAGATTAGCATGGCCCCAGACCAAGGATGACATGCATTTGTGAAGTGTCCCATCTTTTTCTGGGGATGTAATGTACAGCAATGGTGACTAGTTAACAACATTGTATTATGTATGTGAAAGTTTGTAAGAGAGTAGATCTTAAAAGTTTGCATCACAAGAAAAAAAATTGTAACTGTGTTCTAATGGATATTAACTAAATTTATTGTGGTGATCATTTCATAATATCTGCATATATCAAATCATTATACTCTGCACCTAAAACTACTACAATGTTATATGTCAGCTTTATTTCAATTAAAAAAAATAAGAAATAAGTAATATGAATAGACCTGTAACAAGTAGAGAGGTTGAATTAATTAAAAACTTCCCACAAAGACTCTCCGCACCAGATCACCTTGCTGGTAAATCTGTCATATGGTTAAAGAAGAATGAACATCAATCCTTCAGAAACACTTTGAAAAATTATAAAAGGGGTGAGTACTTCTTAAGTCATTCTATAAAGCCAGAAGTATCCTGATATCAAGCCCAGATAAATCACAAGAAAACTACAGATTAATATCCCTTTTTGATATAGATATAAAATGCTTAATAAAATACTAGCAAACTGAATCTGGCAACATAAAAAATTACAAATGTTATATGGATATAAATATAAATATATACATATTATGGATATTTTATATCCAAAAAAGTTATATGTATTATACACATAATTTAAGTAGGATTTATCCCAGGAATGCAAGGGTAGTTCAACATCTGAAAATCAATTCATGTAGAAGATCATGATATAAAAGAAAACATTATGCCAAGTGAAAGAAGCCAGATAAAAAGGACCAATTATTCAATAGCAGTTTTTAACCTGAGACTTAGCTTATAAAAAAGTTGACCAACATGCCTGAAATGGACTCTGGTGGTGAGTGTAGAGGCCAGAGAGATGTGGAGAGGCATCCAAGTCACTAAGGACATCTCCAAGAAAGAAATGGTGATCTTGTAATAGAGAAGAGCATAAGAATGTGAGAACTTCCATATGAGTCAGATTCTTGTTCCATGCACTCTAATGTGCTTTCTTTGACAGGATCCATTGTCACACATGGGTATCTTCCTTGATATCAACCTCCAAAGAGTGACTGGTCTCCTCTCACATCTAAATTCCTGAGCTGCTACTGCATCTTGTGTGTAAATGGATTCTGAATCACTTCTATAGACACACAGCAAAAAACATTTGATATTTTATGTAAATTGTTTTCAATTCTGCAAAAGCCTTATAAACTGAAAGCATTGATAGATACAGCTATTACACTGGTACTGCTGTTCGAAGGAACACTTTTCTATCAGAGGAGAAATCCTAAAGACTATGACTTTGGAAAACCCCAAGTCAGAAGAAGACTGAGGAAATGGGGAAGGTAAATATGAGACAATCAAGGACATACTCCCTTTTATCCTTTGCATTTGCACATTTCCATTCGTTTTGTAGATGAAAGCCCCATAAGGGCAGGTAGTCTTGTATTCACTAATGTATCTCCAAAATCTAAGTTGTTAGCATTGCTGGTACTCAGCAATTCTAATCCTCACCGTATCTATAAGACCCAACCCCAATGTCTGCTGCTCACACTCAAGGCTCAGAGACAGTATGGCTTAGACAGTCATGTTGAGAAGGCAATTTGCTTTTTGTTTTCATTCAACAAGAAGCAGTAGAAAATAAAGAAAACATTCCAAAGAAAATATTTTCAACAATCATGAAATGGTGGGATGGGGGGTAGGGGGCTTTTAATTGACATCAGACCTTTTGTCCTATTATTATATTGTTTTTTTCCAAGTCATTTATTATTCTTTTTATACCAGAATACATAATTTGACATATTAAGGTTTTTTAAAAGAAACTACTCCCAAACAGGTCAAATTATGCTAAATAAACAAGGGGTTGAGCACTCTCCATTCAAGCTTATTACTGCTTTTTAAAAAAGATGACAAGCATCCAAATCTGAACTAAAAAGTGCAAGGTGACAGTCCCCATCTACAGTTCTAATCCCCTAAATCTCTAACTCTAACTTTTAAAACAATTTCTTTGGTGACAATTCCTTACCTGACATCTGTATTATGTAAAATATGCACCATATTACTTTTTACAAAAATCTGAAAAATCCTGAATTCCAAAAACAATTGAGGGGCCAAGAGATTTGAAGGTCCAAGAGATCTTAAGAAAAAGCCTGTATGTATGTGTGTATATGTATACATATATAATAGTGTATACTCATATACATATGTGTGTGTATATATATGTATACACACATACATACAGGTTTTATACATATATAAGTATACACACACACATACACACAGGAATGAGAAAGGACAAATCCAAGTGTCCAAAATGCAACCTTAAAAACAACAAAAAATCATATACCAAACAATACAACCTTCTTTGAAAGTGAATAAAAGTGTACTTAGTATGAGCTCTAAACATTAAAAGAAACTAGGAAATTGTTTAAGTTCATGTTAGTGAGGAGCATATTTAAAACCAATATAAAAAATATATATATATTTGAAGAAAAAGCCTACATATATTTGCATTCAAGTATACATATACAATATAAATATGCATATATATATGTGCAGTATAAATAAATAATATACACACACATGTATATATATATACATATATTTGCATTTAAATAGGGCAATTAAGCAAATCACAATCTCTCTAGCATTTATTTCATGATTTAGAAAGTAAGGGGGTTGTACCAGATGACCTCCAAAATCCTGGACGGTAATTAAATTCTATCTACCTGATTTGTTTATATCCTGTGTTCAATTCTGGATTATGTTCAATTTCTATAAAATTCTGGGCACTTAGGTTGCCCGTGACAAGTGAATACCATTAGATATCTCTTCAACTGTGTAATTCAATTCAGGCTGAGTACCTGCTGTGCCAAACACAGAAGATATGCCTTCCACAACCGTCTTATGGACGCTGGGATGAGACAGGACAAATCCAAGTGTCCAAAATGCAATCTTAAAAAAAAAACACAACAAATCCATGTATGAAACAATACAATCTTCTTTGAAAGTAAATGAAAGCATACATAATATTGGCTATAAACATTAAAAGAAACCAGGAAAATGTTTAAATTAAACTTAAAAGCACGTTGGTGAAGAGCATTTTTTAAAAACAGTTTTTATGAACAAGAGAGATGTTGCATACCTGAGAGTCAAAGCTATAATGTCATTCTGTCACTGTAGTTTAACTATATTATTTATACAGATTAAACTATCTTTACTTAAAAAATGAGGCAGGATTTTTTTTTTTTACTAATGCACATTATAAAATAATACACAGACATACAATAAACATTCAGAAGAAACAAATTATGACACTTAAGAATGTTAATGCATGGGGCGCTTGGGTGGCTCAGTCGGTTAAGCATCCAACTTCAGCTCAGGTCATCTCATCGGTTTGTGGGTTCGAGCTCCGCATCAGGCTCTGTTCTGACAGCTAGATCAGAGCCTGGAGTCCGTTTCAGATTCTGTGTCTCCCTCTCTCTCTGACCCTCTCCTGCTCACACTGTCTCTCTCTCTCTCAGAAATAAATAAAACATTAAAAATTTAAAAAAAAATGTTAATGCAGACAAAAACATTTTTTTAAATGTAATTTCCTTGAAATAGAAATGAATGAGCAAATCATATATTATGCAAATAAAACATGGTAATTTTCAATAAGCCTAGAAAAGTATACCTAAAATCCAATAAACTAAATGATGAGAGTACTCAATATCAAAAATATAGTTCTTTCACATCTGGAGGTTACCAAACATAGCATGCTTGCAAATTCTGTCTCTAGACCAAAGAAAATTATTTCATGCCTTTCCTCATTGTGGTATTACAAGGTACAATTATACTGCCACACACTTCAAAAATTAACTTTCTGTTAACTTGGGTAGATAGTTTTGCTTTTTTTTTTTTTTTTTTTTTTAGGTTACACAGTAAAGGAAACTTGCAGAAAATTGTTAAAAGAGGTTTGGGTTTCCCTTTCATCTTTTCTGTAAATATGTATTGTGAAAGAAATCACATCTAGGAAAATCAGTCTTGAAAGACTCAGAAAATACTTAATATTTAAAACACTTAAGTTTTTTGTCTCTTTTGTGAGGTAACTTTTAAATAATCCCAACACTCCCCTCTGTGGTCAAAGAAGGAAAAGCAATTGTCCAAGGGAAGTGCTCAAATAAGCCAAATTCAACTCTACTCAATGGTTTTCCCTGCTGGGGCATGAACTATGTCTGTGGGAGGGTCAATATGGTACTGTGTACATAAACAAAGTGAACGCTAGAACAAAGGCCACCTCCATCTGGAGAGCCTCTTTCTGTGGCATTTTCCAGATTACAAAAGCTTTATCCTAGAGACTATTGGGTCTGTTTTACACTAGAAGAAACAAGACCAGAAAGCTCTCTTCTCCTGTCTCCCCACTCAGGCCCCTTCTACTATTATGGATGGAAGTGCCAAATTACTGGATTTAATTAATAACCACTCCATACTCAGTTCACCTTATTTATTAAAGGGTTAGAGTTCACGGTGTGCCTGGGTGGTAGTTAAGTCGGTTAAGCATCTGACTCTGGCCCAGGTCATGATCTCACAATGAGTTTGAGCTCCACATCAGGCTCTCTGTCATCATGGAACCCACTCTGGATTCTTTATCCCCCTGTCTCTCTGCCCCTCTCCTGCTTGTGTGGTCACACTCACTTGTGCTCTCTCTCACTCTCTCTCTCTCTCAAAAATAAAGATTCAAAAAATAAATAAAGGGTCAGAGTTCATATTAGGGGAAAAAATAGCTTAGTGATAGCATACAGACTTACAGTTATATAAAAGAGGGGCTCAAAGTTATACTAAATAGTGCCTAGAGTTCTAGAGATTCACAAAAATTGGGTCATATTTATTTTTGTAATAAGCACAAATAAATCAGTAAATTATAAATGCCTGCACAATTATGTTATTTATCATTTTTAAATTTGGTAAAAGCCTCAATTACTTTTTTAAAAATAAAAGAAAAAGCACATAAAAAACAGCA